AAGGGACTAGGAGTTTCCTAGCCCCTTTCAGGTGTCTTCATCCAATGGCCCTATCACCTGTAATCTGACTGAATGGTGACTAAGGAACTTTGTCAATTTGATCAGGGACTAATAATGGCCCATACCTGTAATCTTAGAGTATTTAGGAAACTCCTAAATTCACTCAGCCTATGTTTATGCGTTTTGATCGTTTGTGTTTTTATGTACAATCACCTCAGAGATATAGATAATGTAAAGCAGATCATAGAATTTAGAGTAGAATCAACTAAGTGGCTCAGTGGATAGAGTGCTGGGCCTTGAGTCAGAAAGACCTGAATTCAAATCCAGCCTCAGACACTAGTTGTGTGACCCTGGGGCAAGTCACTTAACCTCTGCTTTGTGCTTACAAATGATTTGCCTCTCAATTACTTACCATTATTGTTATGACTCTGTTTCCCCCTTTAAATAAATGAAAAGAAGGTAGCTGCCAAATCCTTGTCTGGTGTGATGAATGATGAACGTGAATAGAAATTGGGAGAGGGAGCGCCTTTTGCCCTTGGAGAGGAAGATATATTGTTAATCCACTGGAAAAGGAAATAGCAAACCGCTCTGGTATCTTTGTCAAGAAAACCCCATGGAAAGTATTGGTGTGCTATAATCCATGGGGTCACAAAGAGTCAGATATGACTGAACAACAACAACAACAAGAACTAGGATATGGAGTAGGAAGGGATCTGGGAGACTTATTTAATACCTTCATTTTTCAAAGAGGAAACTAATGTCTAGAGCAATAACATGACCAACACTTGGTCATATAAGCGATAAGTATCAGAGCTGGAATCAGAACCTTAGTGTAATAGGAATGTGGCTTGTAGTACCTTACACTAAAACCAGATCTGACCATTTTACACATATATATACCCTCCAGCATCTTCAATGGCTTCTTCTTCTCTCTAGTCCAATATGCTCAGCCTGGCCTTTGAAGCTTTCCACAATCTGATTCCCATCCACATCTCCTGTCTTATTTCATACTACTTTCTGATAGAGTCAAATTAGCACGAAAGCGATTCACTGCACAAAGTATTCCCATTTCCTGCCTCTGTGTCTTTGCCCAGACATTCCTTCTGTCTGGAACTTTCTGCTTGTTCACCTCTAGTTTATAGAATTCTGAGCTTCCTTCATGCATGGCTGAGATATCACTTGCTACCTACCTAAGGCCTTTCCTGTCCTGCTCTCCTTCCCCATAGTTATTAGCACCTTCTACCTCTTGAAATTATCTTGCCTTTGTTAACAAATCCACTCTGAGTATGAGGATTAAATGAGATATAGTGGGTACCCACAATACTCTAACCCTTGCATGAAGGAGAGGACCCCACGTGTAGCTACAGGGCAGGTGTGGTACTAAAGTGCTAGGCTCACTCATGTAAATCAAGCAGGGTACCCTCTGTAAAGAAGATGCTTCAAGCTAGACTTTACCAGTTACCACTTGTAATAGGTCCACATAGTCAAAAGGCAGCTGCTAGGATTGGGCAGTATGTTTAATAAAGTTCCTACATGTGTACAGGGCATAGATGTACACATTGATTCATCTCACTGGCAAGATCAAGTGAGATCTGGGTTTGGATACTAGAAACTCCTTGTTTCAGCTGTGCTCTACCCCAACACTTTCAACAACAAGATCCTATCCCTCTCCCTACACCAGGCTTACTCTCCCTTCAGTAACTTGTCTCAGGCTAGGACAAAGATTCTTACTTTTTTGTGTTATAAACCCCTTTGGGAGTCTGGTGAAGTCTATAGTTATTGTAGTTCAGTTGTTTCTGACTCATTGTGACTTCGTTTGAGGTTTTCTTGGCAAAGATACTGAAGTGGTTTGCCATTTGCTTCTCCAGCTCATTTTACAGATGAGGAAACTGAGGGAAACAGGGTTAAATGACTTGCCCAAGATCACACAGCTAATAATTGTCTGAGGCTCAATTTGACTCAAGTCTCCCTGACTTCAAGCCCAGCACTCTATCCATGGTGCCACTTACCTGCCCTAAAAGCCTACAGACTCCTCAAAATTAAGGATTTTGTTTTGTTTTGATACATTAAGAAAAAACATATAGAATCACAAAGAAATCCAAAGGCTAGCAAAAATAAAGATGTAATCTTCTTGCATCCAAGTTCACAGAGCCCAGTTTAAGAATCTTTGATCTAAGGATTTTTTGTTGATTTTTGTTAATTCACTTTCTCCTATGGGATCCCAAGAAGCTTCTTACCCCCTTCCAAACAACTCCCTGTGAACCCAGAACTGTGTATCTTTCTCTCCAATGGCAAAAGGTGTTACCTCCCAATTTCTATTCACTATCATCATTCATCACACCAGACAAGGATTTGGCAGTCACCTTCTTTTCATTTATTTAAAGGGGGGAAGTAGATTCATAAGTAATAACAATAATGGTAAGCAATTGAGAAGGCTGCCTGAGCTGCCTGTGACTGGTAACAGAACTGCCTGCATCTCCTAAATTTTGCCCCTTTCCTGAAAGAAAGGGGACCAGAAAGAGATCATCTACCAGTTTAATATGAGCTTTTAGGATAGTTCACCTTTAATAGATAAGGAGAGGCAAAGGAAAGCTCTCCCTCACTGCTCTTCACTCCCCATTAGCCCTTGGTCAGGGCAAAGAGACCAGTTCTCAACTTCAGTCTACCATCATCTGCAGCAAGGTCTCTAAGAGTCGGGGGACCCTATAAGAACTGTATGCCTACCCTTCCCCCACTATAACAGAAAATGGATACTCTTCATCCTTCTTTTTCTTCTTCCCCAGAATTCTTTCCCACAAACCAGTGAATTCTGGGAAAGAGTCCATTCACTTTGCTCTAGCTATGTCTGAAGTCTAACGTCTCTGTGGTAATATGCTACAGAATATGGCTATAGCGGTGTGCTACACATCAATTTGTATACACTATTTATTTACTTATTTATAATTTGTATCCCCCCCCCAATAGAATGTAAGCTTCTTGAAGACAGTGATTATTTCATTTTTGTCTGTATTCCTAGCATTGTGTTTTCCGGATGTAACCAAAAGACCATCAGTATAAGTTTTGTTCCTCACTGGTGGAAATCAATGTAACCACCTTCTGTGAGGGGCAATTTTCTTGAATTGACTTCCACTGAAGGCAGGGGGTAAAAAAACACAACAAAAATTGGACTTTTAGAATTTCAGGCCATAGTCACAAAAATACCATCTTGCTAACCTAAAATGAAGTAGTCTCTCAATGTTAACTTTTTGGGGTACTTTGCTCTGTTTGATCCTATAGCAAGCAAGCTACTTCTTCCACTATGTAAGCATTACTTCCTGCTAATCCAGTCACAGTGGCTTTTGTACAGGTTAACACCAGAAAAGGTAACCTGTGTACTTAGTATAAAAGGGATTCGTGCCTGTGCATGTACATGTCCACATGTCCACAGATACTGAACTCAAAGGGAAGATTTTGTAGGAAGGAAGAAAATGTACATGTTTATGAATAAGGACTGAACACTAACTAATACCAAATGCCAGCTAACATGTTTATACTAAATACCAACTAAACGTCCACAAGGAGGAATAATCAGCAAGTATATTGAGATAAATTGGATTAAGTGGCCTCTTACATAACTTTTAATTCCAGTATTCTATGGTAATCATGATTTTAAATAAAATTTCTAATTTTTTTTAAAATTTACTCAGTCCCATCAATAAACTGGAAATGTTTTAATTTTCACACGTCATACATTTTATAGCAGAGTTTTGACTTGAATCAATTACTTTCATATTCTAACAATTATCCCAGACCATAGAAAATTAGCCCTAGTTCATGAATTTGCTCATTACCCCACACCGCCCCCCACACACAAACACTGCAATTTTTTACCAGTGTTAGGATTTTATCTGTCACATGAGCAACCTACAGAGAGTGAAGAATAAACATAGCTATAAAACAAAACACTTGTTTCTTAAGCTCTTGTTACAGATGAGATCAGTCCCTGTCTATCCAAAGCATGAATAAACCAATAGCCATCACTCATTGATTTTCTAGAACTTACTTCTTCACTCTTCCTGGTCTCCAATGTCTTCAAAGGGAAAAATAGGGAAGGGAAGATGAACCAGGGGAAGCTGTGGTAGAAAGAATATTAAATTCTGTTGTCAGAGGGCATAGATTGGAATTGCAATTTTGTGACATTGAGCAAATGCCTTTACCTTCCTAGAACTTGATATTCCTCTGCGGTAAAATAAAGGTGTCAGACTACATGGTTTCTAGGGTCCTTTAAAATTCTAAATCCTATGATCTTGCTTCTTTAACTTATGAGGAATGTTTGTAGCTCTCCATACCCCTAAAAGAAAAAGATACACATACACATGCATTGAGTCCTATCAGAGTTGCTGAACTGCTCAGAGATTAATTTTGTAAAACTGATATAGTTAGATATCTGCCTCTTTTAACCTTTATCTTAGTAGGTGAAGTCAGAAATCAAATTCCTCATAGCTATTTCTCAGCTCACCAGCTACTGACCATTTTAATATCTATTTATCTCTTCTTTACTCAAGAGGAAAGAAATGTAAAGAGAGAATGGCATTGCTGGTATTTGCTACATTTTCTGTCTGCTTGTGTGTTTTTGTATATTAACTAGAATGTAATCTCCTTGAGGGCGATAAACTTTGTGTTTGAAATTGATAGATTGCTCTCTACGTGGCATGTAAAGTGTGAAATTCTATTTTTAGGACCATTCATTAAATGATACTCAGGAGAGGAGATTGAGATTTCTGTAAACAAATATAACTCCTAGAGAGTGAATACTGATGTCCATTGATGGGATAGGACTTAGAGATCCTATATAGCTATAAAACAAAACACTTGTTTCTTAAGCTCTGCTTACAGATGAGATGAGTCCCTGTCTATCCAAAGTATAAATAAACCAATAGCCATTACTCATTGATTTTTCTAAAACTTACTTTTTTTTTTTTTAGTATCACTAGTAACAATTGTTGTGGGTTTCTTCTTAGCTGTGCCGCATAAAATTGGCCGTATTATTGATGGAAGTCCTGCCGATCGCTGTGCAAAACTAAAAGTTGGAGACCGGATATTAGCTGTGAATGGCCAATCTATCATCAATATGCCTCATGCAGATATTGTCAAGCTCATAAAAGATGCCGGTCTTAGTGTAACACTTCGAATCATTCCTCAGGAGGGTAAGTAGCCTTAATATGGCCTCTCAGAGTCATTGGAACCCATCCAGTAGAGGTAATTGTTCCTGACTTGCTTGCTGTTATCATGGCATCTACATAGCTGCTATCAGTGTGGTATTAGTGAGCTGTTGTTATTTCTAGTTTCCCTCAACTACTGCCTGACTTCTTATAGATCTTAACTAATTTCTTTCATGGAACAAGTTAAGTGCCTTTGTAGTCAAAACATTTTAAACCCAGAGACAATCAGTTATTCAGCTGCTCCTTGTAGTATGAATAGTACAGCAATTTCAGAGAAGAGTCATTATGTTGTTGAATGCTGGGGCCCATCGAACATCATTGAGAGAAGTACAGTTCTGAAAAATGGCTTGGCATACATAGTACTCGAGCTCTGGAGAATTCTTTTTATTTCATATTTGGCTGAATCAATCTTGAAGACCTGGAGGAAACTACATCAGATAAAAGGAGACAGAGCATTTCTTTCCCATATAGGAAAAGTTTGTATGTCACAGATTCAGAATTTCCACTTAGCCTATGAAAACTCATTGTGAAACAATGGCTCCATCCTGAGGCCCGGAAGAGAGTCACCATTTGTACAACTTAGGGCAGTTTCTCAACAGACAACAACAACAAAGTCTGAGTATGATTTCAACATCCCCATACCCAGGGGACTAGCTACTCCCCACATAATGAGATGGGAATTGCATCTTAGGAGCACAGTGTTTTATATGGAAGTTGATGTGATTACATAGCTCATTGTCATCTGCTTTATTTAGATCACCCTCTGCTGTTGATCTAACTCTCTCTGAGTATAGTCTAACACTCTCACAGCAGATACTAAATAACTAAATAGTCACCTGGTTTTGCAAATCAATCCAGAAGAATCAGAAAGAGAGTGTAATATATGTCATTTTCAAAGGAGATATCAATAGATATTCTCCCTTTATCTACCTACTTATTCACCACGAACTGACTGAAAATGATATCTGAACTTGTCTTAATGAAAATAGGATGTTACCAGAAAACACTATTAACTTTTCTACAAATATTGTAGAGGATATTTTTTTTTGGCTACCTGAGTCTCAGAGAGAATTAGCAATTTGTACATAGTCACCCAGCTAATAAATGACAGGTAGGATCTGAACCCAGGTCTTCCTTACTTCAAGCTCAACATTCTATCCACTATATCATATTGCCTTTCCAATATTTAATAGAAATTCAATCCATTTGAGCAAGACTGGTTATTGGAAATCTGAACCGAGTTAATGTGTTCTCAGTGTAAAATATGCCAATTTCTTCTCTTGTCCCAATACACAAAAGTAATTACAGTTGAAACCTTAACAAATTATGAAAAAGATTAAAGCTACCAAGTATTTTTTAAAGAAATGGCTCCTGGGATCTTTATATGCCCAGATGTTCTTTTGTGTCTGTCTGTGCAACTGTGGCACCCCAGAGTTACGAGTTACTGGTCACTGAATGCAACTAATAACAAAACCATTGAGAAGGGAATCTGGAAAGTATTCATTTGTAACAGGACTGTTTCCAGCATCCTTAACTAAACTTTAAAATGGAAATAAGATTTACCATTCCTGCCCAAATGCCCATGGCTAAGAGACCTTGTCTCCGCTACAAGTCATCCATACTGAATTAAAATGTGCCACTCCAAGTCATTTTTGAAATGGCCAATGTCCCTAGTTTGTCTTTCTTTTTTTTTTAACAGAAATCATTAAAAAAAAAAAGAAACTTTTACCATTTGTCCTGATTGAATGATCTTTAAAATGACACTCATGTCAATGAGAGTAATTGTTGAAAAAGAGTTTCTAATTTCAGGTAATAAAGGATGGCAATAAGGCTGATTCTCATTCTTTTAGAAGTCTGACTATGAAACCAAAATAGCCAAAGTCAGGAAATGAAAAATTCCCAAGGTGGTCCGTAGCAGGAAATGGTCATTATTAATCCCCTCAGTTTTGTTTTCTAATGCCTACATGACTGGATTTTCATCTTTGGCTTTCATTCTGCAGAGCTGAACAGCCCAGCATCTGCCCCCAGCTCTGAGAAACAGAGCCCCATGGCCCAACAGCACAGCCCCACAGCTCAGCAGAGTCCACTGGCCCAGCAGAGTCCTGTGGCCCCTAACAGCCCTGTCACCCAGCCACCTCCTCCCCAGCCCCTGCAGCTGCAAGGACATGAAAACAGGTAAGCATCTCTGAGGTGTCTCACTTCCAGATATCAGGGGAAAGAAAGATGAGACAAATTTGGATTTACAAGTTACAAGATTTGGGTTGTTTCCAGTCCCTTCAAATGAAAGCTATGTTTATCCTAAGCAACATTTTGATCTTACTGCTCTCATTATTTATAAAAGCACAGCTCATCTATCTCTTGACTTTCAGTCTTCCAATATCTTTATTTGTAAGAATGAAAATAATGATATCTGCACCTGCTTCATAGAAATCTTGTGATGGAGAAACTTAGTTTAAGAATTTCTCAAAGTCCCTCATGAGACATGAGCCCTCTGTCTAGCCTTCACTGGAGCGTTCCTGTGATTGGGAAGCAGCTTGGTCTGGAGTGGAGGTTTTCAATTTTTTTTATGTCGTGGATTCCTTTGATATTCTAGTGAAATCTATGGGAATAATGTTCTTAAATGCATAAAATAAAATCTATGTTATAACAAAGGAAATCAGTGATATTGAAATAAATTAATCAAAAATTTAAAAAAAAAAGTCACACACCTAGATTATGGACTCCTGGTCAAGGGTAATGTTTCCTAAGCAGAATGCTCCAGAATCTCCGAGTTGCTCTATTTTCTCACTTTGCATTGAAAGGCAGAGAGGATACTGTCCAGCTCACATAATCATTGACATACCTGAATTTATCACTGCAGAGAATGACCCAGCCATGACTTGCAGACATACAATGTATGTCCAGCTGAACTTCTTGAAATCCATTAGACTGACATCAAGTACTCTGGGCTTTGGAAGCACTGGTTAGTCCTTAATGAGGGTCTGCCCCATCAATCAAACAAATCCATCTTTGGCATTAAATAAGTGCCTATGAAATGTTTCTTTTCATTAATTCATTCACTTATTAAGCCCCTTACTGTGCTAAATAAGCAAGCATTTATTAAGCCAGGCATTGGGGATTAAAAGACAAAAATTAACCAGACCTTGCCCTCAAGGAACCTGCATTCTATCAGGTGAAACTACACATACACACATAATTAATTATCTACATCTACATGTATCTATATGTAAAAGGAGCATAAGATAACATTCAAGGTAAAGTACTAGTAGCTTTTGAGATCAGGAAGAGCTTCATATAGAAGGTAGCACTTGAGTGAAACTCAAAGGAAACTAGGGAATCTAATAGGTAGATGTGAGGAGAAAGGGCATTGCAGGCACGTGGGGATGAGCTGTGCAAAGGCCTGGAGATGGGAGATGAGACTTCAAGTCAAGTCAAACATTTACTAAGTGCCTACTGTATGTCAGGCACAGTGCACGTCATTATATGAGGAACAACAAGAAAGTCAACCATCACACTTATTTCTTTCAAAAAAAAGGAAGTTCTTTGAATCTGAAAAAGGTAAAAGAGGTCACTATCAGCAGTGGAGAAACATAAATCAGGGTACAAAAAAGGCATTGGACTAATGAGAATGATGATGGTCTGATGCAGTAGACTGAGGGATTTAAAGTAGGTGGTCAGCATTGTTTGATCCTGGAAGAGGTTGCCAGGGCAAGATGGGAACTCATCCCTCTTGGAGCTTCTAGTAAAGAAAAGAAAATGGCAGATATTGTAATGACAGTGGCTCATCCTATGCACAAAGTATGTAAATAGTGCTACCCACTACTTAGAAGAAAGACTTTTGAGGGCAGTGTGTACGCCACCTTGAGCTCTAAGGAAAGTGATAGATAAAACTGTGAGCTTTAGAACATTATTATATATCCTCCATATAATTGAAAGTGGTGGTAGGATTTGAGAATAATGTAGATTTAAAAACACATTTAAATTTTTTCCTTTAGCTAAAGATAAGAAATAGTAGACTGTGAGAAAATATAAAATCCTCAATGATCTTCTCCATAATTATGATATTTTCAGAACACCTGCCTTCCATCACTGCCTCCCATATTGGGGAAGTTGGAGTGAGAACATCTTTTTGATGATCAGAATTCATTTGCACTGTTGCAAAGCAAATATTGTTCCCATACCCCAGATGTTATTTCCAGGTGTTTTGCTCTACTTTGATTCCTCCCATTGACTTCACAGAAAACAAAATGTCTATCATCCTTAGATATTTACATGATATGTCGGGGGTGGGGGGGCAGAGTTAAAAGCTTGGATAGGAAAGTTAATGAAGCCTGTAGAATAAATGGCAAAAATAAGAATTCCACAGATGAATCAATCATTTATTCAGAGTTTACTACATGAAGATCTGGACAGATGTGTTAAGTACTATGTTAGGTGCTAGGAATACAAAGAAAAAGAAATTTTTTTTAAAAACTTTTCTTACGCTCAAGGATCTTACATCCTAATTGGGGAAGGTGGGGGGAACAATTTATAAGGAAATGTGTACAATCTATTTTCCATTCAGCCACTAAAGGGATTTTTTTTAAAGTATGGGTCTGATCACGACACCTCTCTTTCACATCTCTCCCTCCCCCACTCGCTAAATCCAGTAGCTTCCAATAATCTCCAGGAACAAATACAAAATGCTCTGTTTGGTATTCAAAGCCCTGCATATCCTAGCCCTCTCATATCTTTCTCATTTCCTTTCACCTTCCTCCCCACACGTACTCTTCTATCTAGTGATAGTGGCCTCCTGGCTCTTCCATGAGCAGGATACTCCATCTCCTGTTCCTGGCATTTTCTCTGGCTGTTCCCCATGTCCGGAATGTTCTCCTTCTTCTGCTCCAACTACTCACCTCCCTTGTATCCATAGATTGTAAGCTCCTTGAGGACAGGAACTATGTTTTGCCTCTTTTTGTATCCCTACCAGGGGTGGGGAACCTGCAGCCTCGAGACCACATACGGCCCTCTAGGTCCTCAAGTGTGGCCCTTTGACTGAATCCAAACTTCACAGAACAAATCCCTTTAATAAAAGGATTTGTTCTGTAAAACTTGGACTCAGTCAAAAGCCTGCAGCCAAGGATCTAAAAGGCCACATGTGACCTCAAGGCTACAGGTTCTCCACCCCTGTGGCCCTTAGCACACTACCTGGCTCATAGCAGGTTCTTGATAAATTTTTTTGAATTATTGAAAGATGCATACTGAGTACATGAAAGGTAACCTCAAAAAGAGGAAGTTATGGGTGGTGGAGTCGGTGGGGATGGTGGGGGAAAAGGCAGGTGGAACCAGAAGAGTCAAGAGTAAATCCTGGATGCCTCCGAAATAAACCTCACATGATTTAGCTTTGGCAGTGTGCTCTTTCATCAGATTCTTTGACTCATGCTAGCATTCATTTTAAACTTAGTGGAAGAGGCCCCACCAGTCACTGAACCAGCTCTTTCTCTTGGCTCTGCCTGAACCACTTACACCATTCCAAAATCACACTCCTCTGGACACAGGGAGTTCACACCTCCTTTCTTGTGCTGGTCTCATACTGAATCAGCCTTCATTCAGGAAGATTGTTGGTTGTGGCCCCTGGCCCCACCTGCTATGATCTCATTATAGTCTGTTCAACTTTTTGTTTGTTCGTTTTAAAACAAAACATTTCCTACACACTAGGATTAATAGTAACAGCCCCCTTTTTATCTTTATTGATATACACATATGTATATATGTATATATATACACATATGCATATGTATTGCACATGCACTCACATGCATACACACACTTAAAGCTTAAGCCTTATCAAAACTTAATTAAGGGGGGCAATTAGGTGGCACAGTGAATAGAGCACCAGCCCTGAAGTCAGGAGGACCTGAGATCAAATCTGACCTCAGACCAAACACTTGACACTTACTAGCTGTGTGACCCTGGGCAAGTCACTTAACCCCAACTGCCTAAAAATTTTAAAAAAAAACCTTCATTAAGACTTTTGGAACACCCTATGCATATGTGTGTGCATGGATGTGTGCGTGTGTTTCATAAGGTTTAAAAATTCAAGCCTTAGTAGCTTAAAACAACACTAGGACTTCTGGAACATCCTGTATAGATGTATGTGTATGTGTGTGTGTGTGAGTATGTGTCTCTTTCCATATACATATGTACATATATGCATATATATACATACATATATATATATATATGTTGGTATGTGGTAATATATACATATATCTCCAGATAGACAAAAAGATGGATGGATGGATGCATGCATGCATGCATGGATAGATGGATCTCACATCTTTGCCCAGATTTTCTTAGTTACTTCAGTCCAAAATCACTCAAAGTGCTATAGGTTATTGACTCCAAGCATTGCTAGGCTTTTCATTGAGAATCAGCACTAGTGTTATTGGTAACTGACATCCTAAATCCTTGCTGGTATCCAGACAATCCTTCAATTCAGGGCAACTACCATACATACAAAAATGTGGCCCTTCCCTTACCGCTGGTTCCCACCCAGCAGCTACAATGGTATTTTCTCAAGCAGACAAGAAAAAAACTTCTGCCTTTTTTCGGGGTCATTCTGAAGGATCTTCCCAATCAAGTTAGGTTCTGTATCAACAAAGATGCATTGTGACTTTCAATCAATGCATGTGCACATGGTCTGCTGCCCTTTAGGTGAATTAAGGCAAGTGTACTGTTAGAATGGAATGCAATAAAATGGTATTACTCAACTACCTGCAAGGACATTATCTATTTTGTGGGTTGGCATCCTCCAAAGTATTTCCTTCCTCCCACACCATCCAGTTAGTGCATATTCAAAAAGTAAAAAATAATCTTAATGTCATAACAAACCAAACTTTATCTAGGGAGATGAATCTGCCAGGAAAACAAAATCAAACTATTATATAACATACCTCAAAGTCAAATAGAATTCATTTCAAAACCTAATTTTCCAATGTTTAGTATTAACCATGACACCCTCCCTTTCTATTAACATAGGCAATTGGTAGCTTACTTTGTTTCAATTGATTTGTACATAAAAGAGATTGTGTGCTGTAGTAAATAAGGCACTGAACTTGGAGTAAGGAAGACCTGGGTTTGAATGTTGCCTTAGACATTAGCTGTGTGACCCTGGGCAAATCAAAACCTCCTTGTGCTTCACTTTCATCATCTGAAAAATGGCTCTAAGGTCACTTCCAGCTCTGAATCTCTGATCCTATGAAAAAAGGTAAAAAGGGGCTGGAGGTTGATTTTCTAAATAAACAATATACCTTATTAGCTTTTATGTGAAACAGGTTGTCTTTTCTCTCTAGACTTCAATTTCCTTACCTGTAAAAATAAGAGACTTAAACTACTTGATGTCTGCTAGCTTTAAATTAACAATCCCAATATCTCAAATTTTAAGACTCTTTCATAAAGATGTATGTAATTGTAAGCACATATATGTTGTACCATGGAAATATAAAAAGCAATGTCTTTTGAGCGTTTAAAGAAGAAAGGGGGTTACAAAAATTCCAAGTGGCATTGTTATCTGAACTGGCCCCAATATCATTCATTTGTGAGATAGCAGATTTATTAGAGTTAATATTGTATGGTGAGAAAGAGCAATCAATTAATCAGAAAGCATTTTGTTAAGCACCCATCTCCAAGGGTTTTTGTAAGGATCAAATTTGAAATAGTATTTTTAAAGTATTTTGCCAACCTTAAACCACCATATAAAGACCAGTCATAAAGCCGTTATTATTTCAACCTATTATCATACAATCTCCCAGCTAATTCAGGACAAAGCTCTCCTATACAAAGCTTTTCTGGACTTGAAAAAGAGTGCACTTTCCCTCTTGAAGTTATTTTGTATTGTCAAAATAATTTGCATTTACTTATCTTTGTGTGTTATTTCCCCCAGTAGCTAGTCAGGGAGATCTGAGTGTGACCTAGGGCAAGTCACTTAACATTACTTAGCCTAGGTTTCCTCAACTATAAAACATGGTTGTGAGGATATTATGAGGTAAGCCACATCAAACTCTCTGCAAACATTAATGGGCTATATAAATTCTAGCTAGTGCTATTCTTTAATAAACTCCTGGAAGTCAGAGGCCATTAGCTTCCTGTTTTTGTATCTCCAGAATACAGCACAGCGTCTTGCACATAGATTTTTTAAAAAATGTTTATTGATCTAAATGGAAATTGTTGAATATCAACTTTTTTGCAATACATGTGGACGCCTTTGGTTGGACTGAGATGATAATAGTGAGTTCACAAAAATAAAATATGAACAATGGAATTATAGTGATACACTGTGACTTAAAATCATATAATATCTTTAGGGTCAAGAAGAATCTTTCTAGAGAGAAATTTGACACACACACACCAACAAATGATAGTCAGTTTAATTCCAAGTGCTGAATACAGGCATTTGCATAACTAAGCATCTTACTCAAAGAGTATTTAAATAATTTTCTTCTCTTTGTGCAGGCTCCCCAGTAGGTACCTGGACAGCTTGCTGGGACTCAAAGCAGAACTTAAATTATGCAACTCCCAAAAGGCATTCCTTGCCTCTGTCAGAGTTAAATACCAAAATGATATCTGTTGAGAAGAGCTAATTTTAAATAATTGTGCATTATAAATACCTTTCCAAGGGACTCAGACAGAGCCATTCACATCTGTTGAGGGCAATTTCAGTGTATTCCCACCAAATATTGGTTTTTTTAGTAAATTAACATAGATCAGTCTTGGTCAGTTAATAAAACTGTGAAGGGACCATCTAATCTAAAAGAAAAAAAGTCCCTGTATGTTTTCCTTTTTGTAATAAATCTCAACTTTTTCTTAGAACTTAATATTTTCTTCTTCCTTGTTTTGAAATCAATATTAGAAATTTAGCTTTTGTGAGATTATTAAATTCTCATTATATAAAAGGTTATCTTTCTTCCCCTTACTTGGCATCCTATGACAGTTCTCTGTACTTAAGTCTCTGGGTGACTTATTGTGGATTGTTACCATGGTAATAAGCAGTGAGCTAGAGAGCCAAGCACACTATTTATTCATGATCACAATAGGAGAGAATGCTCTCCTTTTCAGTTGCCCTACAATGGTTGATACCAGGCATTTCCCCTTTGGGGGAAATTAGGCGCTCCCAATCTATGACACCTTGACTTCACAAACCAAAGCAGCTGGAAACTCTTGAGTGGTTTCTATGATTGTTTGGGGTTGGGTTTTTCTTTGCTTTTTGCATGTATTAAGACGGTGACTAGAATATAGAAACATACACAGAATGAGAGGCTCCCAAATTCTAAAAGGTGAAAAATCAGTGAATTAATACCCTTCTCCCCTCTTTCATCATATACTCCTCATAATATCTTATTTGATATGTACTCTGAGTACAGTCACAGCCTGCCTAGTTCTTTTGATTAATTATTCAAAAACACAACACATGGAATATTTGTAAATACAGAAATGATGCTGGAGAATGTAAACTCTTTGAGAGTAGACACCATTACTTTTCCCCCCAGCACCTAGCATCGTGTCTTATAGTTAGTACACAAGAAATGGTTTTGGTTTGTTTTTTTAAATTGTATTAAGGAGCAACTGAGATTATGGAAGGGGGAAATAGGGATAAGGATGGGACCTATGATTTCACTAGTAGAGGGTATTCCTGGATGTAGAAAGCCCTCTCCAATTCAATGTGGCACCTGTTCTGCAAATTGGTCTTAGAGAGTTGTTTTGGAACAGTGATGTCAAAATCAAATAGACATATGTAAGAATAAGCTAGATTCCCTGTGGGCCACATATTGTCTTAGTTTTAAAATGTCATATTATCAATATTTTATTCTATTTTTATTTATTTTGTAAAATATTTCCCAATTACATTTTAATCTGGTTTAGCCTCATGGCCCTCATGTTTGATACCTCTGCTCTAGAGGCTAAGTGACTGGCCCATGGTCACAGCCAGTATGCATCAGATAAAGGCCTTGAACCCATTGATCCTCTTTGAAAACAAAAGATGAATTACAATCTAGTGTAACAAAACCCAGCTTATTGTGATACAATTATATTTAATAGTTATTTTTAAGATACATGTAGATCCCTAGGAAAATGTCATATGATATATCCAATGATCTATGAGGTTTTTAAATCTTTTTTTAACCAATAAACAATTGGGCACAGTGATATCCCTGGCCTTTTTATACATAGTAATTAAAAATTGTAGTCATTATGTCATTATGAACTGAGAGTATCAGGTAGAGCCGTCATTTTGACTTTGAATACTTAAATTCTTAGCTGAAAATGTACATGGTGTTTGCTAAATAGAAAACATTCTGTTTATTTTAATTTCTTTGGAATAGGGAACTTCCAGATGAGAAAACTCTGTCTTCCAGTGCAAGTTGATACGTGTTTTGTAACTTAAGAGTTTTAGTGAGTTGACCCAAACTCTAAGAAGCACTGAAGGGGTCACAAGTGGAAAAAGTTTAAGGCCTAGAGCACTATTTTGCTTATTCTCTAATTGTGAAAGGGCTAGAAAAACTTACACTCTTCTTTTAAGATTATGTTTGAAGACTGTCGACCTTCTCTCCCCTTCAAGACCCAAGATATCCAACTAATCATTATTCTGATGTGTTTAGTTATAGGTCAGAAGTAAAAGCAAGGCAAGATGTGAAACCAGACATCCGACAGCCTCCATTTACAGACTACAGGCAGCCAGCCACAGACTACAGACAGCCCCCACTGGACTACAGACACCCCCCAGGAGTGGATTATCAGCAACCACCACCCTTGGACTATAGGCAACCACCTCTGTTAGACTACAGGCAACATTCTCCAGACACGAGGCAATATCCTCTATCAGATTACAGGCAACCCCAGGTAATTTGCACCATAAATACTTATTACATTGGATTCAAATGAATAAAGAAAAATATATAATTATCACTATCGCTCTGGGTCTCGGTTTCCCCATCTATAAAATAAGGGGATTGAACTAGATGAACTCTAAGCAACTTACCAGGCGTGAAATTTTCTGATTTCATGATTAAAAATAAGTCCGAGGTAACGGATTCAAGGTGCAGAGTGAAACATACTTTCTTAGACATAGCCAGTGTGAGAAATTGTTTTGCTTGACCATGCATATTTTTTATAAGATATTTGGTTTTTTTATGAGTTTTGTTGTTGTTGTTGTTGTTGAGTGAAGGTAGCGAAGGTAGAGGTTGTGGAAGCAGACTAGCAATAGGTTACACACACACACACACACACACACACACACACACACACAAAGAGGTTTTGGAAGCATTAAATGCCAAGAAGATAACGGAAAGAAAGCTGGAAGGAAGCAAGCAGAGCAATTGAAAGTTATATGTTGAAGTTATAGATTTATAAAGAAAAGAAAGCTAGACTTAAGAGAAATTCATGGTTTCATCTACAATGCCCTTTCTCTGGTCCATCATATAAAGAAGTGTTCATTTTATTTCATATTTAAGTTAAGAATTTTTAATTAAATAAGTTAGAAACCACTTTCTTTAGATTCTCTAAATCAGCACATAGAGAAAGGAAAATCACAGCATTATCAGAATTAGAAACAATAAGATTATCCATTGCTATTAGTTTAGAGGATTGTTTTGTTGCTATTGTTCTCAACCCATAATTTTTTTTCCTGCAGCCTCTTTAAATGAGCAAAGTGATTTAAGAAAATACTGAGTATGGTTTTCTGCTAGCCAAGACAGTACCCCAGGGGTCCCCTGTGTCCTATTTTCTCTTAATGTTGACAGTGCAGGGGTTGAAACAGGAGAGAAATGGGTTAAACGAATCCGTGCTAGCAATATGCCAGCTAATTCTTAGATATCATAATACCTTAACCCAGTTAAAATACATTTAACTGAGCCCTTAGGGCAGATGCTGAAAATGTTAGGCAAAGCAGAAATGTAAAAATTCAAAACAAAGCCATTCCCAACGTACACAAAACAATGCAATTTTTGTAAATGTTTATACTTTGTAGATGTGGAGATGGAATGGGGTAGAGGAAAAGGACCTTCAAATACTTCTTCATCAGGAGCTAAATAAAGAAAGCATATCTGTATTTAGATCAGATTACATTTTTATCATCTTTATGGAAGATTACCTCTATCCCAAAAATAAAATTTCTAAAGAAAAATCAATAAAAGGCAGCTTTAAAAAAAAAGAACTTTCCTATTAACATGGAAGATCAATTATGATTTGTGTGCTTCTGCTTGATATTTTATAATCCATGGAAACAGCAAAAGCAAAGAGCCATTAATTCTCACTTTACTAATAGGCAAATCCTATAATTTTTAAACATGCCTGCATACCCTGACACATTAACAGAGATGTTCAACAGCTGCTGAATCAGGGAGACCAAGTCAGAGGATCATAACTATGTGTAATAATAGCATGTTTCCAAGTAAACCAACACATATCAGAATCAAGGTAGCTAAATTATAGCTTTTTAAAGGACCCAAACAAATATATTAGAATGGACCCAGAGTGTTTGAGGTTTTGATTTGTGGTGTTTTTTTTTCCCAATGGCCAGAGTAGATGGCATCTCCTTGAACCTATTTACCACCTAGTGCAAATCTATTGTAGCAGAAGAAGAAAGTCATTGTCATAGAGAAATCTTCTATGAGATCCAAAGATCTCCCATTCCATTTTCTGTCCCAATAGGATTTTGATTATTTTACTGTGGACATGGAGAAGGGAGCCAAAGGGTTTGGATTCAGTATCCGTGGAGGAAGAGAATACAAAATGGATCTGTATGTGTTGAGGTTGGCAGAAGATGGGCCAGCAATAAGGAATGGAAGAATGAGAGTAAGTAAGAACTCTTTTCTCAGAATTGCTCAAAGTGTATTCTAATGCCAATTCAGTGCTCTACCATATTAGAATAGGGCTGGGTTACCTTGACAAGGAAGAAGTTCCAGCACTCAACAGACTTTAATACTGCTTTTGAACTCCCTTTATCGTCATTAGGTTATACTGAGTTTTATCATTAGATGAACCAGGCATATCAGTTCACTTAAAAAACTTTATATAATTTGACTTTCAAATAGATATTTTCATCCTATCTCTTTTTATTTTGCTTTGTGAGTTTTAAAAAACTGCATTGTATCAGTTGACATAGCTTGGTCCTTTGAGTCATTCTTGAATTCCAGTTCTAAGTTTAGACAAATTCTATCTAGGAATTACATTTTAATTGACAATAGCAAGACCCTCTCATTTCTTTTCATATACCTTCCTCGGTGTAGTTTATTCATTTGTTTGTTTTTAAACGGGCAAACTAACCTAAAAGGACAAAAGAAAAACATTTCAGAAACAACTTGAAGTAGGAAAGAGGAACATAATTGCTTTTTTTGTGGTTGGGTAATTCAGTTGTCATTTAAGATTGCATCTTTTGACTTTTTTCTGTCTGACATTAATCAAGAAGTTCTTTACTTCCTTAGAAATAATAACATCTCACACTTCCATAGCACGTAAGGTAATTTAATGTGCTTTTCTCAAAGTAACCCTGTAAGATAATGCACATATTAATTCAGATAATTAAGAATTAGGATAATTCTCATTTTGCTTGGGAGGTGACAGAGAAAAAGCATACTGTCCAGAGTTGCAGAGGTCACATGTCAGAAACTGGGTTTCGAATGTAGATCTTCTGCCTCCAAGAGAAGCATTCTTTCTACTATATCTCACTGCTTTTCTACATTGGTAATAAATTGATGATGGAATTTCTTTAGTATTGGCAAACTACTTTGCCTCATTTTGGGTTTCAGTTGCCTCATCTGGAAGATAAGGGGAGTTGGATTAGATCACTCTGAAATCCCTTACATCTTGGACAGTCTGTGTTTCTGTGCTTTATACAGCTCTTCAAGTTTTCTATTTATAAGGGATTCCTCTAAATACTTGAAAATAGTTTAAAATACATATACATGCATGTATATGTACTTAACTCATGGTACCTCAGGCATGTCACAAAGTCTCATCACCGAACTTGGCCAAGATTAATCTGAAATGACCTTTTCTTGATGAAGCCATCCTGGTTCTTCAAATGAATAACTAGAAAGGAAAGCAGTAAGCACCGTTTCCGTTTTTATGGATTTATAAAACACTCTTTACAACAGAACAATATGGACTAGAATCTTGCCAAGAAAAAGTCAAGCTCACTGGCTGGAAGTTTATAGAATCAATCATCACTCTTTTTTAAAATTTTACGAACTTTTTCTCTGCAATTGTATGGCAGCTCTCCTTTTCCCATGATCTATCTAAAACATAGGGATGGGGAACCTGCAGTCTCAAGGTCACATGTGCCCCTCTAGATCTTCAAAGGCATCCCTTTGACTGAATCCAAACTTTGCAAGACAAAGTTGTTCAGTCAAAGGGCCGCACTTGAGGACCTAGAGGGCCATGTGGCCTTAAGGAACCACAAGGTTCCCCACCCTGATCTAAAACTTCTTGCTATGGCTCCTTGGTGAGGTCTGCCCATTATTTCAGGTCTCTGGATGTGGTTCATCTGCACCTGGTAACTTGAGCTCCTCAAAGAAGCCTCACCTGTCTTGGGTTTCAACTCTATTAATATCATTAACTATTTTTGCTCTGACATTTTTAGTCCAAAGTCCATTCTCCAAGGAAGAGAAAACAGAAACCAAATAAGATTGGAACAGTTTCTTCCTACTTCATCACTGTCATCCATTACCATTATCCCATAAACACTGAGAAGTGATTCTGTCTCATCTTTGCTCCTCCTCTTTTACCCCACATTTATGTGTATATAGATGTACATAATATGCATACATATACATAAATAAATAAGTATGTGTGTATATGTGCATGGTGTGTGTATATATGTAAATACATGTGCATGTATGTAGAAGTATGTGAACATAAATGTGAAAACTATATAGAAAATACATAAGCAAAATATACATACATAAACACATATACATATATACAAATTATAAATGAAAATTTATGTGAAACATATATAGAAATATATATAGACATAGAAATATATATACATATAGGTACATATATGGAAAATATAGATGAAAATCAATATGAAACATAGAAATATGTTGACATATGAAAATATGTATATAGATATAGATATAGAAAATATAGATAAAATCCATGTGAAACATATAGAAAATATATATAGACATATAGAAATCTATGTACACATAGATACACACATACACAAGGCAGTGTGACATAGTGGCTAGAGAGTTGACCTTGAAGCCAAGAATACCTGAATTCAAATCTACCCTTTGACACATGTCTGTGAGACTTTCAGCAAATTATTTCCTCTCTTAGTTCCCTAAGCAACTATATAAGGTGCAGAATAGGTACTAATCTGTATTAATATAGTGTTTCTTCACCAGTGAGATCCCATATCAATAAAATAGCAAGCCTAGTCTACATCCCTATACATATATGTATACACACACACACACACACACACACACACACACACACGCTTTCCTAATTTGCAAAATGGGGAAGATGGATCAAATGATGATTCCCTAAGGACTCTGTAAAATCTGTCTTATATTTCATAATTCTATACCTCCTTCTAACTATGTAACAAAATCAGCCTATTACTCCTATCTTGGCTTTCTGAGGAGTGTGCTCTCTATATGGCACCATGACAAAACTGTGTAGACTTCTATGCTCTGTCTTGCCCTAAGCAACATAATTTCTCCAATTTTTCACAGACGGGCCAAGAGCCCTCTCATTTCCTTTATTTGCTACTACCGTCCAGAGGGCCATACCACTGATTCTTATAGCAGTATTCCCCAGTCAAAAAAAATCATGGCCGCTTTACTCATTGGGCAAATAGTAGCAAGAAACATCTGAAAGTTGTGTGGTCCTACAGAAAGACCACTGACTCTGAGGACCCGGCTTCAAATCCTGCTACCTGTATGCTATTGAACTAGTCACTTAACATTCCTGGGCCTCATTTCTAAAATGAGAGAATTAAACTAGATGGTCCCTAAAGGCCCTTCCAATTCTCGAAAGGACATGACAAGTTCTCTGATTTCTGTGCTGGAGGGAAATTTGAATACAGATTCCCAGAAGACCTGCTGTACTTTCTTGATGAATTTTATTTTGGATGTTTTGCAATGTTTGCTGTACTAATATAAATAGCCATCATTGTTCTTTCTTAGAAATGCTTTCACGGCTGGTCAAGTATTGTAAAGATTAGGACAGGTAAATATGAGCCACTAATGACTTTAAGAGCTATTTGTTTTTGGCACTACCTTGTACTATGGGGCATTTGAAGATAATATGGGTCGGTTACACTATACCTCTGGCATTTAATTTTCAGGGGAGAACATCCATACAACATAAATCTAGGAGGAAGGAGAAACTCGGATGTTTTCCGGATCAGTTTTTACGAGATCATTTTAGAGTCCTGACCTTTCTATTTAAAAGGAACTTTTAATTCATTAATTTAATTCAGCAATCCTTTGTTAAACACCTACTGTGTCTTGGACAATGTGTTAGGCACAGAGGATACAAAGGGAAAGAAGGATCCTACATTCTATTGGGAGAACAATGTGTACACCAAAAAATAAAAACAGAATTTATATAAAAGTAGATATAAGTAATGGGCAGGTAGGTGGCACAGTGGATAGAGGTATAGGCCAGAGTCTGAAAGACCTAAGTTCAAATCTGGCCTGGGATACTTACCAGCTGCATGACCCTGGGCAATTCACTTAACCCTGTGTGCCTCAGTTTCCTCATCTGTAAAATGAACTGGAAAAAGAAATGGCAAACCATTCCAGTATCTTTGCCAAAAGATACTGGACTTTGGGACCCAAAGGGGGTCACGAAGAATCCGACATGACTGAAACAACTGAACAACAGGAATAAGAAGGTATAAGTAATTTCCAGAGGTGGGCATTAACAACTGGGCAGCTCAGGAGATGCTTCCTGTAGAAGGTGGAATTTAAGCTGATCTGTGGAGGAAGCGAGAGATTCTGTGAGGTGGATCTGAGGAAATGAGGCAGAGGTGACAGACCGTGCACAGGAACAGAGCTGGGTGATGGGATGTCATGTATAGCAAACAGAAGCTAGGTCAGTATGGCGGAACCTACAGTGTACTGACCTTCTTTTGTTACTCAACCATCTCTTCAACCGCACTTGCTTTTTTTCACTGAAGCAAGTTGAATGCAGATATATGACTTCAAATATGACTACCAGAGCTAGCTAGATATTATGCACGTGTCAGATAAAGCAAAAGGGGACCAACTAAGGAGGATTAAATATTGTATTTATTAAGCAAGGTCTTGTTTACCCTTGACTTGTCATTTGTTTCTTTGAACTCTTCTGCCTTCATTAGAGTGAGCAAATAACAACACGCTTGAATCCCCAAGTACATTTAAATTGTAACAACTCACGCTAGTAAACCACTTTAAGGTTTACCAACAACTACTCTAAAAGCAAACCTATGAGGTCAATAATGGAGTTATTTATATTTCTCTTTTATAGTTTGGGAAACTAAATTTCGGAGAAGTTAAATGATTTTCCCAGTCACAAAGCTAGGAAGTGTCAGAGAGAAGAATCAAAGTCAGGTCTCCTGGCTATAAGCCTGAGATCTTTCTTATCAACTATAACATAGTTGGTGTTTAATAAGTGTTTATTGAGTTGAATTTTGGTATACCACATTATAGGGACCCACGATGAGTCAACATTATTCACTTACTAATTAATTAGTATGTAATTAATGATTCATTGGCAAACGATTAAGTGACTTACTTTATAATAGAATTATAAATAAGATCCTAATTAATAAATGTGCTAACTGTTTATCCTTGCTG